TTGCTGAGGCAAAGGGAATGCCACATATTCAGGATTTCGATATTTACTTCCAAGTCGGCCTCTAGAAGTTGCATGTCTTTATGTTCTTCCCAGCACGGCCCATTTCCCACCTCCTCTCCAGCTCTGAGCAGGACTGTTTTCTACAAGTCCTGTGCTCTCTGCCCTTAAGAGAGCTGACAATCCAGCTGGGAACCAGCCTTACACTTGGTGGCAGTGGGTGTCAAGAGGAAAGGGTTTTTATTTGAATCCCGGTGTTTTCTATTTGTTGATCTGTTTTCATTTTAATTTTCCCATGAGGTTCTTCTGAAGGAAGACTCAACGGGATCGGATTCCTAGATAAAACGATGAAGCGGATTGCATGAACAGCAACTATAGGGTTGCTCGCTAGAAAAAAAGATAGAAATTGGATGTTGGAAATTGGATAAGTAAGAAAGATACCTGGTTCAGGACCAGGGATGCAGTTGCCTAGGGGACCCTGGGTAGCACTGGTGCTGTGAGAGGTGGGGATTGCTTTTGCTGTCTTTTCATGGAAATGTGTCACAAATTACTTATGTAAAGAAAAAAAGTAATCAAATGAATTTTTATAATTTTCGGTGTGTTGAATTTGAAGTATGAGTAGTTCTTCTATGTCCAGAAGCCAATGGAACATGAACTTGGGGCACAGGGAAGAGAGCAGGGTTTTTAGTGACGACTTGGACAACATCACCAGCATCCAGTGGCTTAGGTGTGTGTGTGTGTGTGTGTGTGTGTGTGTGTGTGTGTGTGTGTCTGTAGAGTGGGAGGGCAGAGAAGGCAAGGACATGGCTGATATGAGGGGGAGTGGAAGAAACAGAACTGTGCCAACAAGCCCTTCACAAACTGGGAGGGCCCCCCACTTCTGGCACAGGGTGGTCCCCACAGAGATCTCCCAGCCCCAAGTCTCTCTGGAGGAGGGAGAGAGAGGGTAGTGCTCCACCTGCGTCCTGACAGCCACCACACTGGTGGGTGCTCCTGCCCTGAGACATGGTCCTGAGAGGCTAAACGGCTTGCTCAGGGACACAGAACCTACTTAGCAGTGACACTCCAAGCGCTGGCAATTGCTGCAGCCAAACTATACGCTGACCTCCAAGGATGGTGCTTGGGATTGTGCAAGCAGAGGACGGGACAAGCCAGATAGTTTTGAACTCCACAACTGTGTATTGAACTAGGAGTCAAGCTCTTGATCTTACCACGGTGGCGCGGATTTCGAACAGGTCGTTTCTGTAGTGCTCCGCCTCCTGGAAGCCTGTGATATATCCAGAAGTCCACAACTGACTTCCTACAGTTGGGTTTTTTTGTTTGTTTGTTTGTTTTGAGACAGAGTCTCGCTCAGTCACCCTTGGGCTGGAGTCAGTCACTCTTGGGCTGGGTGCCTTGGCGTCAGCATAGCTCACAGCAACCTCAAATTCCTGGGCTCAAGCAATCCTGCCTCAGCCTCCCGAGTAGCTGGGACTACAGGCATGCGCCACCATGCCCGGCTAATTTTTTCTATATATTTTTAGTTGTCTGATTAATTTCTTTCTGTTTTTAGTAGAGACGGGGTCTCGCTCTTGCTCAGGCTGGTCTTGAACTCCTGAGCTCAAACGATCCACCCGCCTCGGCCTCCCAGAGAGCTAGGATTACAGGCGTGAGCCACCACACCGGGCCTGAGTTGGGTTGTTGGAGAGGAAGATTCACTCACCTATCAACTACAGAAGTGCAGGAATGTTAAAAATCCCTTGAGGTTAACAAAAATTTCTACATGTGAAAGGACATGTGGAAAAATTATAGACTACTTCCCAGAACTATGTTCTACTTACCTGGAGTCAGAGATCCGGAAACAAAATTATTTCCTGAAGAGGAGGTTTGTGGTCCCGTTAGAATGCAGAAGATCAACTGAGCAGCACCCACCCCGTTCCTTTTGCATGTCTGGTGGATGAGCCAGCTCAAACCCTGGGACATTATTGCACAAAAGCTCCCACTGCCTGCTAAAACATATTTACTATGCACCGAATTCCCCACTAAATTACTTTTTGGCATCTACCTCCAACTTTCCCTCATATCCTGTGCCCTCACTGTAAATAATAATAATAGACAGACTTGACAAATCTATTTAAAATGAAGCAGTGTTTATAACTCCAGGAGATCATAAAATGCACATGTTTGGGTATTGCTATGAATTAGAAGCTGCCGAATTGATATGGAGTAAAGAAAGCTCAGTAAGTATTTAAAGTAAGGGTTGAAACTTGGTTCATCAAAGCTTTCAGGGTGGAATCAAGTGCTTAAGTCACCCATAGTCATACCTAAAACATGCTGGCCTGACCCAAGCATGGTCAGGCTTAATGAACCACCCAAATTTCACAGTGAGCCTTGTCCTCTGTACATTTGGAATCTGAAGCACTGTACTGGGAAGACACCCATGTTTATGGGGGCAGAGGCTGGGGCAGAAGGAGATGTGGCTGGAGCTCCTCCGACTGTGGGCAGAGGCACTCTCTGTGGTGCTTTCCAGCTCCGGACAGTACCGCCTTGCCAAGGGCTCCAGGGAGAAATGTTGCTGCCCACATAGACTGGTGGTATTGATCAAAGCAATAGAGCGTTCACGGTTAGCGCTTTAAAGTAAACCTTTTGGCACTTGGTGATTTTTCTGGAAAGCGTAGAAGAAAAAGTCAGAGCCCTTTGGGCACATCTGAAGTTGCAGGGGACGCAGCCAGGGCTTGGAAGGAGCCACCGTCACTTGTCCCTTTTCCGTCTTTGTGCTGCCATCTAGGGAGGAAAGGAAAACATGTGTTGTGTCCTGGTGAGGAGAAACAGTCACCTGAAACCCCAGCACCATCTGCAGCTTCTAGAACAGAAAAGCAAAGCTGGCGCTTTCGGCCTCAGTTGGCAGCTGTGCACTTTCCCTTCTAAGAGACGACCTCAGATGAAGGAAGGAAGAACTTCCCGTCGCGGCCAGCCTGAGGTCTCCTGCTAGGTTCACGTGGGGCTCCTGGGGAGTGGGCCAAAAAGTGTTCTTTTTCTTTCAATGTTTAAAGGGAGTGAAATACAATATAATATGAGGGTTGCCCACACTTATGGAACAGATGCTGTGATTTTAGGGAAAAAACCATGAAAATATAAGAAACGCACAAAAATAAGGTTCTGAGATGAATAATTCTTAAACCATTTTCTCCTCGTTCTCCCTCCTTTTGGTTTCTTATTTTCTTTTTTTGTTTTTTTTTTGTTTGTTTGTTTTTTTTAAAGGCAGATCCTTTTATAACAATTAGGAAGCCTTATGTAGATGCCAATGTATAAAAAAATAGATAAGTATGGACTTGCTCATAGAAGTAGTACCTAATATTCCTCTGAAGAATGAAACTGAACAAGTTTAATTACTACAAGTTGGTTTTTTATTGAGTACAAAGTTAAAAGTAATTGATTCTGGAGCTATAAGTTACCAAAAAAATGTGGATGGAAATCAGATTTCTATGCCATAATGTAGAAAACAAGGAGGTGAGGCCTTCCCTGACCATCCCGCTCCCCAGAACTCTGCCCTCTCCCTTCTCAGCTTTTCCTGCAGCCCCTGGCACTGACATGCCACCAGGCCCACCATGGAATGGAAACTTCTCGAGGGCAAGTATTTTTGTCTGCCATGTTGACAGCTTCATTTCCAGTGCCTGGAACATCTTTAGCACACAACAGGTGCTCAGCAGATGTTCTTAAAGGAATCCATGAATCTAAGTTTATTCCTTGGTTTCTTTTTTTTTTTTTTTTGCAAGAACTAACAACATGACAAATTTTACACATATTCTGATTAAAACGCATGTGTAAGGTAACAATTCTCTTAACGTCTGTGAAGCTCTGATTCCTCCGTAAATCTCATTTGGTGCTTTTCCCCCTCTCGAATAGGCTTGATTGGTGTGAGACCATCAAAATAACATTAACAAAAGTACGGTAAATGTTAAAAAACTGATAGCTGAATTAAAGATTTGACATGCAAATGCACAAGCTAAGTAGAAGCTTTACTTAAATTCTGGTTTGCCACAGCTGAGGATAAATTGACCTGCAGAGTTTATTACGAATAAAGCAAGAACAAAGCAGACTAAATCTGAGTTTTTCCTATATGAAAATAAAATTTGCAATTAAAAAAGATTACTTAAAGATAAATGGCATCAGCTACACGGACAATGGTATGAACAAGAACCTGGGATGAGCAAAAAGGAGAGACCTGGGCTTGAGGAGGGAGGGAGGGCATCTGGACTCCGCCACCCACAGTCTTTGCAACCTTACTTGACATTCTGTATGACAGGGAGACCTCCCCCTTCTGGTCTACCTAGGAGGGCTGTTGTAAAGGTGAATTTAAATACTGGTAGGTGATTGCTGTGAAACTGTAAAGTACTGTTAAACACAGGTAGGAAAGCTTTTGGTCAGTCTGATGGCCCTGAGGAGTGTATAAATAATCCTGAGGGGTGTCTAAATCTCAGTGCATACAAAAGTGTAGAATTCTCATCATTTCTTCCCATCATTCAGATGAGGTCAAGGCCTGTGGACATCTTCCAGGATCACTTGGGAAACACCCTTCTGCTTGCCTCCCTAGACCTGGAGCTCTTTGGGAAGAGGTTTGACTGCATGATGCAGCTAACTCGAGATCACCAAACTTTGAATTCATCCTGGAGAAAGGGATGTTTGGGAGGAAATACATGATAGAAAGCGGCTAGTCACGTTAGATCAGCTTTAAGAACAGAGAACATCAATTCCTCAGCTATGTCAAGAAGCTGTCTCTCAAATCTGGTGAAGAGGTGATGTTCTGGGATGTAACAGAGTCGAGGTCAGGGCCTCTGGGGAAAGGGAATTTGGTGTAGTAGAGAGTCTGGGAGTCACAGGTCCTGAGTTCAAGTTCTGGCTCAGATATTTATTCGCTGTGTGACCTTGGGCAAATGAGCTGAGTTTACCTTTTTCAACTGTAAAATGGGAGAAAAAAATACCCTTTGTGCCATGTGGTTTATGGAAGGTTTAACACATAAATTCATGTAAGAGATGCTTAAAAAATTGCAAAGCACTTTGCCTGTCTTTGTTATTACTTTCCAATAATTGTACTCTTTATATTTGTTTCCATTGCAAAGTGAGGTCCTCTCTGGAAAATGAAGAAAAGAAATACACACACATAAACACACACACCACAGATACCACAATGGCCAGTATGAGCATTTTGGTGTAGTTTCTTCCAGTGAAACACATGAGATAATCCATCTCAAGAATTTAGAGGAGGGCCCGGTGGGTGGTAAACACTCCGTGCCTGCCGACTCCAAAAGCACTTTCCTCCCAGCTGTAAAGGAGACAAGGCTCCTCAAGCACCAGCGACTGCAGGAAAAGACATAAAAAACTGGATGGTCTAGTCCCACTGCACACGGAGAGTGGCTGTGGGCCAGCAGTGTCCATGATTTGTCCACGGCTCACAGGGTGAAGGCAGGACTGAGAGGACAACCAGGAACAATCCAGCCACTTTCTGTTCATTGGTCTGTTTAGTACTGAAACATGGTTGAGCATCTGGCGTCGCTTTTCCACTGCATTTACATTTTTAAAGATTGAGATATGTCTACTGTGGTTGTCACACGTTAGCATACAATATAAGCAACACTGTGTATTTAGTAAGTGACTGGGTACACTTTAGTTTTTCACCTATAGCTTGCCCTTGTGTCTTGGTAAGACCCCCAGTAAGAGAAATAGGATCCTGCAGAATGAACTGCAGTACACCGTGAAACAGACCTGACCCAGCAAAAGACAATTCCACTTGACGTCCACCTTAAACCATATGGAGGAGAATCTCCCTGGGAGTGTGGAACCATAGAAGTACCTTGAAAAATGACAGGGTGTGAGGGCTAAGAGGGAGAGGGAAATTTGAACTGAAGATAAATTAGGCAGAAAAAAGGAAAGAATGTCGGTAATCTGGGATCAGTTTCAGAAATATGTATGGTTTGATAAAAAAGATGGAGGCTCTTATGTGTGTACCAAGTGGTTTTGTAGTTTACAGACATGTTTCGAAGCTTTCCCCAAAGCAGCACATTATTCAAAAAGAAAAATTATGTCAGTAAGAGAAGCAAAGGGCCAAAGGATTTGAGCAGGCTAACGGATCCTAACATTTAGTATAACAAAGTCTAAAAAGGTTCTAGTTTGAAACTCCCTAAAGAATTTGAAAGGATAGGATATGTATGTGTAAGTGTGCATCTGTACACATATGTGGGTGTTTATATGTTTGTGTGTACTTATGTGTATACACGTGTGTTTACGTGGGTCTATGGACAGTGTATATAAGCTCATATTGATTTGTTCCTAATATCATTCCCCGAAACAGCACTTGGCATGTGTAATACTTTTTGTTTTTGATTTTTTAATTATTATTCAACTCTTAGTTAATATTGCACATTTCAAGTGAAATTAGGATTTCACTTTGGCATCGAATGTAAAGTCAAATATGCAAGAAAACAAAACTGCTAATTTCCTAAATTCCCACTTAATTTATGGCTAAGTCACAATGTGAGCATCTACTAAAGATCCTGGGAAGATGAGGAGTTTATAAAGACCATATATATTCTCAAACTTCAGTAATTGATCCAGCAATCCCACTACTGGGTATTTACCCAAAGGAAAAAGAGTCATTTTATCAAAAAGACATTTGCACTAGAATGTTTATTGTAGCACAATTCACAATCACAAAGATGTAGAATCAACCCAAGTGCCCATCAATTCATGAGTGGATTAATAAAACGTGGTATACGTATACCACGGGATACTGCTCAACCATTAAAAAAAATGAATTAATACCTTTTACAACAATCTGGATGGAACTGGAGACCATTCTCCTGAGTGAAGTATTGCAAGAAAAACAAACACCACGTGTACTCGCTATTAAATTGGAACTAACCAAACAGCACTCATGTGCACAGACAGAAGTAAAACTCAACAGAAATCATGCAAGTGGGGGTGGGGGAGGAGGGGATGAATGAAATCATGCCTAGTAGGTACAATCTACACTATGTGGGTGATGGGCACACTTATAACTTTGACTCAAGCAGGACAAAAGCAATGTATGTAACAAAAGCATTTGTACCCCCATAATATTCTGAAATTTTTTAAAAAAGGACATAAAAGTAATAATTTAGGTTGGAGGCTTGATATAAATAATCTCTAAATGCCACATAAAAGTAAATTTATTAACATGAGCGCAGCCACACAGATGTAAATGATGAATTCTAGCAACACACATAGACAAGATGGATCTTGCAACACACGTAGACAAGATGACTGCAGCAAGTGCAGTTCAATCGGCTGACGGAAGAAAATTCACAACCCTTTATCTAGAGATTAAAGACTATTTCCATTTCATTTACTACCAGCATCATTAACACACATGTTTAAGGCCCATACAAGTTTATGAATGAGTTTATGAATATGTCCTTCAACTTCAAATACTAGTGAATCACAGAAAACCCATTTTCAGAAGGAATCTTGAAATTCAAGGTTTAGCCACAGGCTGTTGAGAATTCCAATACTGTATTGCAGAATGCTTGTCCAGGGTGTCCAATATGGATTAATTGGTTGGTTGGTTGGTTAATTGTCTTGTGCAACAAATACTTGTTGAAGGCCTACTGTGTACTGCCCCAAGTGAAATGCTGTGTATACATCTACAGTTATGTGTTGCTTAATGACGGACATGTTATGAGAAATGTGTCCTTAGCCAATTTTGTAGTTGTGTAAACATCATAGAGTATGCTTACACAAACCTGGAT